GGAGGAACAGAAAACAGCAGGTTTTGCATGTGGCTGTAATGGAGACACAAGTAGAGATGCTACCTCTGCACAAAATGTTAATAAATGTATGGAGAGAACATTTTCCTCTATCATAAGAGCCAAAATGACACAACTTGGTGCAACCATGCAAGAAGAGGGAGATGGGGCCAGCTGGTCCACCAGGACCTCAGGTGGCATCAAGCACCCTGGGAAGCATTGCCCTGTGTCTTCTTGCTTGTCCTGAGCAAAGCTGATAAAAAAATGTTCTGGTTAAACACTTTATTATCACAGATTGCCCTTTTACACAAAGTCAAATGCCCTCTGTATTGATTTTGATAAAAATATGCTTTTCTTTGTGTAAGCAAACTGAGGGAAAAAAAAAAAAAAGTGTTCTGGTCTTATTTAAACATCACAGATCCACTGTTTTATTGAAAGCCTTTCAGCTAAACCAAAATACACTTTTAAAGTGAGTTTTTAATTCCAGAGGACATTTCAATTGTTTTATTTCATTTTATTTTGGATTAGGAGTGGAATAAATAGAGGAAACTACAAGGATGGAAATCATCCTGGTAATCTCTGCATAAGCCGATACGACTGTCGCGTGTCTGCTTCAGGGCTCTGTGGCAGGACCGGGCTGAGGCTCAAACCAGTGCAGTGCAATGAGATACAGCCCAAATAATGCAGCAGCTGGCACGGTGCTCAGCCAGCTAAAGGAGGTCACTGAAAACAATGCCAACCCACACCGCTTAATATAAAATGTACTTTTCTCAAACTACCTAGGTGCCTTTGATGAGACGATAAATTTTGCTGAAAGAGATTAAAAAAAAAAAAAAAACACACTTTGCTTGGCATTGCACGGCAATGGCTTAGAAAGCAGAATGGCACAAAATCAATGTGTCAATGTTGGATTGAATTAAGCAACTACAAGCTGCTTAACGTCTACCTCTTAAAATATATCGCGAAGAGGAATCACCTTCTCTCTGCGTATCGCTCGCAGACCACTTCAGGGATCGTTTGCTTTGTCTCCATCACGGCTAATATTTCTCCTGACTTCTCAGAGGAAAGCCTCGTATCCCCGCCGGTGATGCCTGTGGGTGGCACAGGAGCTGCTGGATGCACGGGTGACAACGAGAGGGTGTCACGGAGCAGTGACACCTGGCCAGCCACGTGTGAGCAAGAAATACTCGGTCTCCCAGAGCTGAGCATACAGGCTGAAGGCCAGGAGATGTCGACGAGGCAGGAGCCTTATCAGCAGTTTAACACCCTCGGATGTCCTGGCAGAGCCTCTGCACCACCCAGTGCTCAGACACCCCTCGTCCCCAGCCCAGCTCCTTCTCCTAATGCTTGCCAACCTGCCTGCTGCTGTATTAAAGACTCACCAGAGCTGCAGAGCTCTTTAATCACCATTTTGAGGCCTTGCATGCCCTACGGAGATGGGCCTGCAGGCGTTTCATACTCCCGGCCTCCTGGCAGGCTTCCTGCACCCAGATCATCTCCTGGGGACCAGGGGACGTGGGAGCTCGCCTGGCTGGGCCCCGGTGGCCCAGGGTCTCTGGGGGACTCACTCAGAGGCAGAAAACCTCCATCCTTCAGATGCTGCTAATAAATCGTTGGCTTAATGGCCTCGTGCCTGCGTGCCACGCTTTATGTCCTCTCAGGATGTTATATGCCACATAAAATGTGATAGGTCATTAAAGAGAGAAAGTAATTAGCTTGTATTTATACTGAGGCCTGCAATTAAATTATGTTCCTCTAATATCAGGCATCCCTTTTTACATATTGCTTGCTTGGCTAGTACCTTAGCAAGACGCTTTGGTTCTAGAGATTTTGGAAGACCCTTTATCACCCAAATATCTGACTACCCTTCAGGAAGCACCATCACCAGGCAGGAGAAGATCACCAGCACACCATCAGAAAGGTTACACTGAGGGCATCTCTCCCTCTTCTGGAGGCTACATCCCCCTCACAGGCAGACCAAAGAGCCCTGGGCCCTTTCCACAGACCCAGAGACTGCGAGGTGCTGATGTATGGCAGGGATGCACCGCTGAGGATGCAGTGACAGAGGGGAGGCACTGCCGAAGCCTATAGGAACCCAATATCTTTGTGCCATCCGCTCCCCTGTGCAATGTGTCTGCGGCTGGCCAACAATGCAAACGCAGCGGTGGGGAATGCGGGGGGAGCGCGCGGCGGAGCTGTATTTCCTTACCGAGTAAGGCTAAAAATATCAGTGACCTTTCCGAGCTCTGTTTTTCCGTGGTTTGGAGCAGAGTTGTGAAATTTGGCAGGTGCAAGAGGCCTTTGGGGTGTGCCTTCTGCTGTTCCTGTGAAAATCTTCCCAAATTTGGGCTAGGTAGAAGCCTTTGGAAAACAAGACCATATGTTAAGACGCATGTAGGAACTTCGGTGACTTGGTGGTGATAATTTTGTCCTCGGGGAGCCCCCTTGCCCTTTCCTGTGTCAGTGCCTGGACCTGGGGTCTCCACCCCGACACTTCCAGCCCCGGGGTCCCCACAGAGTCAGGGTAGAGCCCACAGACCCACCTCTGCTCATGGGGATTGCTCTCAGGAAAAAGCTCTGTACGAGCCGCAGTGCATTCGCCTTGGGTATGCGATCATGGAAGCGAAATAACCCAAGTTACACATTTTTGCCACGCACACAGCTGTGGGGAGGGAAGGTCTCGTTCCCGAGATCTGCCTGCATAACCACGATGAGGAAGAGGATGTTTTGCTTCACAGTAGCTTACTCATTTGCCTACAGTTTAATTAAGCCCCTGAGAAGTCGTTGGCTGACACTGCTTTCTGGCCGGACAGGTAAGAGTCGCTCTCAGCCAAGCCCAAGGGATATTTGCCTCACCCAACTGGCGTGGTGAGTGGTGGCAGGTCGTGGGCTGGTGGTGACACAGGGACGTCCTTCCTGTATGAGCCATGGACTTCTCCACATCTAGAAAATAAGGGATTTTTGCTTGCTTGTAGCTCCAGCTGTCTTGTTTTGGGGGTGGGTGACCTTGAGTCAGGGGAGAGCTCCGAGGCACCCCGTTCACCCAGAAGGGACAGCCATGAGCACTGGGAAGGACTGGGCAGGTTGTGGGTGGCAGGCAGGTGGTGATGGGGGAAAAGCTGGTGGTGAATTGAATGGGAATGGGGATTACTTGGGAGAAAAAGGTGAAATTTGACTCAAAGGTAAGGAAGAGACATGGCCGGGGAGCAGGAAAATAATGTATTCAGCACTGGTCTCTCTGTGCCCAAATGCAGATTGCTTCCTAATAGAAAGGCTGTTCGGTGAAGGACTCTCCATCCTATTTGTGAGAATGCAAAGCCCTTCTCCTCCTATTCACGGCTGGGTAACAGCCCTTGTGGCGAGCACATCAGCTGCTCACGCAGGACAGAAATCCTGGAAAGGCTGAGTGCAAGTTTAGCCAAGCCAAATGGCACACGAGCTTTCCAGAGAGCGCTGGCAGAGACTGCCGATTTTCAGAAATATCTATTCTTTTAATATCCAGCGGACACGTTCATTAGATAGCTATTTTTAAAGGGATGAAATGCACTGGGAAATAACGTCAGTGGCAAACGTGTCCGTCCTTGTCCATCCATGCCGTCCGCTGTGACAACACCGTGGCTGATGTTCAGCAGTGATTACCTAGGCAGGTGCTACCTCTGGGGCCAGTTCAGGACAACTGAATTTGGTTGGGGTTTTTACTCAGGTGGCACATTGCATGGTCAGCCACCGTCCCCCTGACCACGTGTGGTGCCTGTCAATGCTTTTTCTACTGCCTGATGCTTTGCAACCTAAAGAGCAGGCTAACATTTTAACAGATGCAGCCTGCCTCCCTTCCCAATCCCCTTATAGGAAGGGTTCATTGGGAGGTTAATAGGATGCTGAGGAGAGGGACTGATTAAAATGAAATTAATCTAAATTAAATTAGGGGAAAGTCGCCTAACCCACTCGGTTCATAAGATTTCATAGCCGGGGCATTACAAGGAAGATGGCTGAGAAGTGAGGGATCCAGATCTGCGAGTGGTCCTGACTGGGTATCCTCCATCTGAACTCAGCACCGGGGTTTGCCCCAGTAAGACCAGTATGAGAAGTGGCCAGCAGCATGAAGCACTGGCTCTGCCTCCCCGGGAACAGCATCCCCAGGAGTGTCTGCTGCCACAAGATCTCATGGCCATGCAGGGGACAGGAGCTGTGCCCCAACAACAGCTTCTGTAGGGCAGCCACATCCCGGCTGTGGGGCAGGACAAGACCCAAGAGCTGTCAGGAAGCAGGGGGCTGAGTGTGCAGTGGGCTTGCTGTGAGAGCTGGGCCACAGCCTGCAAGGTCTCCCAGGCATCCTGGAGTCTTTGAGAAAGCGTTTTGCACCTGTAAGGGTTTTTTAAAGTAATAACAATAACAATCAGCAGGGCTATGCTCATCCCTAATGCCATTAAAGCTGTTCCATAAAACAACAAAGCTCTCCATGGGTACCTCCAGGATGCCCATTCCCCCAGCCTCGGGATTCAGGTGGTTGTGTGCTGCCGCATGTAGCAAGGCAAGCTCTTTTCTCAGCACGTGAAGTTAGAAAAAATGCTTCAGAAACAAATGGTCACCAAATTCTCAACATCCCAGGCTGTGTAATACAGTAGCCAACACCCCCAATATACACGTAGCCACGTGTGCTTCATTTCAAGGTATCTGTATTTGCCTATTTATCTGGATTTATGCTTTTTTTTTTGCTCTTACTTTACTAAGAGAGGCTCTTTAAACTCCATGGTGTGCAATATCTCCTTCTATGGAGGTATTCATCTCTTCACAAGATGAAACAATATATATGCAAATGCGCATTAATACATAAAACCTGAAGTAAGACATCCACGTCTACACTTTGATGCACTAATCTGGGCCTAGTTACATTGACACAGATGGAGTGAATTATTGGAGGAGAAAAAGCACATCTGTTAAACGTTATTGTTTAATTAAGCCATTAGCAACTGAAAGACAAGAGCCTTTAAATTGTAGCATTTTGTATTTATTTCAGGCTGCAGAACTTGTATGGCTCCCCCAGCACCTGGAGTGTGCGGCATCCTTTAGTGCCATCACCAAAAAGGAGCTATTGCCTCTACCCTGCCGGTGGGGAGCTGAGCTTTTTGGCCATCAGCCTTGTCAGGAATTTGGGAAACAGAGACGTGGTCTGAGGTTAACATCTTACTGCCAACTTGCTTCATCAGTTGGTGTCTGGAAGCCTTGCAGGAGCTCCAGCTAACCTGTCACCTGCAGGTGAGGGTCTCTGCACCCAGTTAGCCTGGGCGTGGGGTTTGGAGCACACAAAATCTTCTCCTACCTGCCTGCCAGGCTCTGTGCACGTGGCCTAAGAAATTGGCAATAATCCTTTATTACAGCTGCGGGCTCTCCCTGGAAATCTTATTCTCCCGTTCAATTTTACAGTGAATAAATTTCCTAGCTGGAGGGAAACTTCTTCCTGCGATGGGGGACAGGATGTCTTCGTGAGACATTTTACCAATGGATTTACTGCAACGGAGAGGTAAGAAGCATAACGTTGTCTTGCTGAGAATGCCCAAGGGGAGCAGCCCATCATCACCCTGAGGACCAAAGGTGAACTGCTGGACTGCTCGTTTTTGTCCTTGCCTTGTCCTCACCTGCAGAAGTGGAAAACCATTTCTTGTCTGCTCAGCGTGGGGGCATCGCTGCTGGTGCAAGGAAGAGGAGATGGTGCTTAGGTGAATGAAAATAAATAACACAAAGCTCTTCGTGCAGTGCTAAGGTGACATTCAGAGAAGCCGGGTCACCGTATGAGGCTGAGAAAAGCCCCCCTTAGAGGAAGAAAACAGCAATATCTGGCCCAGGGGATGCACCCTGCAGCTTGTGCCACCTGGTATCTGCCTCTCCGCCACCTCGTGCAGGGAATTTCAGACCCCTTTATGAGCTGTGTTTGCTGCTGAGATGGAGACTTGGGCATTCTTCTTGTTCTTATCTTGTTGCTCCTATAATAACTTTTGGATCCCTTGCTGGGGTCGACCAAATTTCACAGTGGACTAGAGAGCTTAGAGATATTAAATATCCAGGAGGAGTGCAAAAATGGGCATCCGTAAAGAAAAAGGAGACCCGTTTAGTGGCTTTAGTGTGGAAGAGGTGAATAGGATTAGCTCTTATCTTTGCAGAGGAATCCAGGCTTCGTTAGTTCTGCTGCCCAAGCAATGCCCGGCCGCTGTTGTGACGGCGGATATTAGGGTCATGAGCAGTGCCATAAATAGCTAATTTAGCTTTTATGTGCCATTTACACCACTTCTGCCAACAAAGTGACACATGATAAATACAAGCAAGAAAGGCTTTCAGCTTTAAAAATAGATTTATTTTTTTTTTCCACTCTATATGCTGCAGGAGGAAGGCCTGACTCTGCTCTCACTTAGGCAGGCATAAAACAAAATTAGCTACAGAGAAATGAATGGGGATGCATCTATCAAAAATGTGCAAGTGGCAGCAGAAATGGCCTCTTCTCTTTTAAACTTCTTCCTATTCAATACTGCACAAACGTATTTATTTATTTGATGCAATAACCTTTTAGGACTGATGAAATTATACTCCTGCCCCTCGAATCAGAGCTGATGTCATTCAGGAATGAACACGGATGCATCTCAATGGAAAATCAGCCTGAATGGAAAAGTGTAAAAAATATAAAGTGTCTCCACGGAGGGCCAGCATCTACTTTGGTTCCCTAGGAAGGGCTGAAGCGGTTGTGCTCAGCACTGGCAGGCTCCACTCAGCCATCCTCATCCTGAGCCTTTGGCCTCAGCTGGGCAGGGTGAAGCCCCCGTGGGACCTAGGCAGGTCGGCAGATGGTGTGGGAATGTCCCAAGGGGCATGGCAGGGAGAGGAGGAGGAAGAGCTCCCCATAGGAAAGCAGAGAATCCCTTTTCCCCAGGAGCTGGATCCCAGGGCTCTGCTCGCTGAGGCGGCGGTGATCTGAAAGCTAACCAAAAGCGCTGCTGCTATCCCAGAGTACCGCCTTAAATAATTGAAAAATGAATAATTAAATTAAAAGAGGATTATTTCCCGCAGACAAGCAGAAAATTGCTGCCTGCGGGACAAAGGGCGATGGTAAGGCTTCATTTTCTGCAGCCAGCAGCGAGGTGATGGGAACAACACCTGCGGAGGGCAGGAAGAGCCCCCCCTGGGTTACCTTGGGCTATTTTGGCTCCCGGTTTCTCTCCCCCTTGTGTTTTCCCAAATGTAGGGATGCTGATTGCTGGAGGAGGAAGCAAATCAGGAAACACGAGACGTGCCCTTATGCGTGAATGTCAGCCCTGGGGTGTGGGGGAATCTGTTTACATACAGGCACACGAGGGATTTGCACAGCCCAGTCCCGCTGACTGATGGTTAGCTGCTAGACATATCTGTGGGATACATTTCTATGTTTAGTCCCCTACGTTTATTTTACCAGTGAGTGTGAGGGGATGTGCACATGAGCTTTGTTCTGGCACCTTGTAAGAATGGTATTTCATGGCACTATTATTTTTCCCGAAGATGTATATATCTGTTTGAGCAGATGACACATCGTAAGAGTCTGTATTTCTCATGAACTATAATTAAAAATGAACAACTCCCTGCATAGGATAACAATACCATAATATACTTGCTCTCCTCACGGAAATTTAAACAAGTTGACATGCTGAGTGAATAATGATCTTACATTTATACCACACTTATTTTCCCTGAGCACTGAAAGCCCATGGTACACGAATATCGAAACCATGTGAAATATTAGAGTGGGGCCTGAACACGTCCAGCAGGAACCGAGCTGTGCTCCTCCACCCTTCCTCCTCCCCAGTGCCTCAAGCTCTCCTTGCCCTCCCAAACCTCCTACCCGGCCGCCCCATCCCTGTGGTATCCCACTCTCTTCTTTGTGCCTTTCGGATCTGGAAGGCCTCTTTTTGTTCCATGTCTTTGCCTTCTGACAGCCCTCCTCACCCCCTCCTTAAAGCTCCAGTTTCTCCAGCAAAGCACTCTCTTCGCTCGCCACATCAGCACTGCTTATGAAAGGTCAGGGTACTTTGCCAGGAGCTGTGGCATTTTCTTTAAGTCCATCTTCTCATCTCTCTGGCCAGAGACTTCATGGTCCCCAAGGGGGTGGCCATGGTTGTGACCGGGCTGTCACAAACCAGATGTCCACGATGGTGTCATGGGATTCAGAGAGACACGTGCAGCCCTGTTAGTCCCCCTTCCTCCCTCCACTCCATACTCATCATCGCACCATTTATATCTGAAAAACACGAGCCTGGCCTTTCGGTAACAGATTTCTCATCCTGCACCCCCCTGTGCCAAAGCAGATGGGCAGAGGAAGCTCAGAGAGTAAATAACGTGCTTGACACCGCATAGCAGGGCTGTGGCAGAACAATTTCTGGGTGCCAGCCCCGGTCTCAAACCCAGCCCCAGGAACACAGCGACGAGTTTCCCTCCTGCCTTGATGCCTGCCTGGCCAGATGAGCACACGGCATCTTTGTCCCATGGCACTGACCGAGGACCTGAAGGATGCCAGCCACCTGTGCGGGATAAAGGCACTGGTCTAGGACCAGGGGATGAGGGTATTCTGCTTGGGCTCTTTGGTGAGGTGCTCGCTTTCCCTGGCTTGTCTGGAAGCACTAAAGTACAGGTTTTGCAAAGGTGTGTCAGCCCTGTAGTTTAATCAGTGAGCACTGGCCCTTTTCATCTTCAAAGCCCTGCGGGACCGGCCTGCCGGAGCCTCCTCTCATCAGCCACTGGGCAGGGGAAGAAGCGGTGGCAGAGAGCAAAGGCTCCAGGGCTCCTCAATGCGAGACACCGACACGAGCACCAGAGCATCCGTATGGGGCCAAGCCGATGTCCTGCCTCCCCTGCATCCTGTCTGGGCACGGGTGGGTGCCGATAAAAAGGTGTAAAGCCAACGGGGCCGGCACGGAGCATCCTCCCTGCCGGCGTGCCTTGAAAAATGAGTGATTCCTTTCTACACCCAACACCTCTGCTGGTGATTAAAGCATTGACTCGTGCTTTTTGGCTTGTGGTGCTTGCATTGTGCAGGACCGTTCGAGTCAAAAAAAGGAAACGCTTTGATGATCTTAATCAGGACTTCCCTCCAAACACGCATTTCCGTGCCTGCTGCGGCGGGAGCCAGCAGAACACTCTGCTACCCGAGAGCCTGCATCCGAAATGCTCCTCCACAGCCAAATGTCACCAGAAACGGGGAAAAATACAGCCCTGCTCGCAAACTGTTAGCCAGAGCAAACAAAAAAGTCCTCCCACATCCCAAGAGCAAGGTTTCTGGTAGGCAGCCCGGTGTCAGTGGAAAATCAATGCATTTACGCCTGGTTTCAAAGCCTTGGAAGCGGAGAGGAGCTTCTCCATCAATTTTGGGGGGTTGGATCAGGTCCTCCGGGAGCACCCATCATCAGAAGCAAGACTGGCCATACGGATCCAAGCTCAAAACTGTGTCAGGAGAGCACGCTGCAATGCTCTGAGCAGGCGCCGAACGACTCTCCGCACGCTATCGATCCTCCCTTCTAGCTTGTGAAGATGTTTTATATACGTTGCATCAGAGGTAAAATTTACCCAAGGAATTTAATAAACTGCAAAGACAGCACGCAAACTTTGCACTACTTGCAGATTAAAAAGTCATCCGCTCCCCAGCGACTTCCTCTTGCACGTACCAAAGAAGTCCAAGTGTGGATAAATTTAACGCAGCTGATTCTCATTTTTGCTTCTGGAAAATGTTGCCCTGGAAGATCTCAGAGTCAAGCTATACATCTGTCACTCCCTCCAGTCAAGTCCTTGGGAATCTATATTTATAGACCTAGGTTTGGTACAGTTAGAGCCTGTGCCAAAGCCTACTGCAGTCAATGGAAATCTTGGGGAAAAAAAAAGCCTTGGAAATGTTTTAGAAAAGCACAGTTTTGACTAGAATATGCTAAAATATTAGAGTGTGTACCCCCACAAAAAAAAAAAAAATCAAAAACATTTTTCAAACATTTCAAGGAAAAAACCTAGCTGGTGAGGGGCTCCCTAGAGCAGATTGTGCAATCAGCTGTGGATGTGCACTCCAGAAAATGCTCGGGGCAGGGGGATTACTTGGGCAAGATGCGTTACCTGCTGTGCACAGCACCCGGCGCTCACTGAGCTCCTCGGCCCCTGAGCCGGGTCAGAGGGAGCTGTGAATATCTGATTACCGTGAACTCCAATCCCACTTTAGCTTACCTTTCTGTTAAACAAACACTGTCCTGCAGCTCTGTTATCTGCCCTTGCCAACCGCGTGGCGTGCACATTAATAAAAGCAGTGGGATTTTTCTCCCTGTTTAAGTTCGCAGGGAACAATAGTGTTTCCTGCCAGAATTTTTGGATGAGTGCAACCTTCCTCTGGGACTAAGCTTCAAAATATTGGCATTTTTGGGGGGTGATGGCAAAATCTTCAGTGCTGGGTTTTTCTGCTTGTGTCAGATTTCCTCTCCCCCTTGAAATCTGTCATGGAAAAGTCCAGAATGCCTGATCTGTAGGTCAGAGGTGCAGGTACCATCAAACAAACAAGCAAACAAGCAAAAAAAACACACAAAAAAACCTTCAGGGCAATAAAAGAAGAAGGGAAAAATATATACCACAACTTCATAATGCTGGAGTAACTGAAGTTAGTTATAAGAAGCCTTCTAAGCATCTTATACCCAAGAGAAAAACAATGTATTGAAATTCCTTTAAAAGGCTAAACAGGAGGATTTTTAGTTAGTACAGGCTTCCCGAGATGTCTGCAGTAAAACTGGCTCCTCAAGGTTGAAGAAGGTCTAAGTCAATCCCGCTGAGGCTTGCACAGCTGGTGTAGGTCTCTAAGCTAAAGGGATCTGGCAAGCCTAGAGCCGGCTTTAGCATCACTTAGGAACAGAGCGTGATGAAGCCAAATGTCTTCCTGTGGCCTCACGTGCACATAGTGTCATCTGCAGCAAACCCGTGGCTGAAGATATGTAAAAGACACTGAGATGGTGGCTCATGGGCTCACCACGCAGCATCTGTGCCACCAAATGCCCCAGTCCCAGTATTTAGGTGCTTCTGTGATGGGAGAGCAAGGTCAGAGGTGATCCATTGCCTGTGTCCTGTCAGGATGCTGCCCACGTTTTTGGGTGTAGCTTGTCTGCTGCCAGAGATAGGTAAAATGATTTACTCTCAAGAAGCTCCTCCGCCACGCAGGAAACCCAGGCACAATTTGCTCTCCTAAAGGAGTACAAATATGTACATCCTAGACACATGCCATAGCTAGGCAAACAACAGGTTCTGTCCTGGGGAGGTGCTTTATGCCCCAAATAAAGCAGGGACACTCGGCAAGAGACCAAGATTTGGTGGGGGAGTCAGGAGCTGTCAGGGGAAGTTCTGCTGCAGCAGTCGTGACGAGCAGGAGACTGCAGCGTGGCAGAGGCTGCGGAGCACGGCCACTGCTGGCTTTGTCAGGCTGGTTCAGCATCCAAATTCCTAGCTCCCTGTCTCACCCAAACACAGGATTTTTAGAAAATTTTAGATCTCCCTACACATTTTGTGTAGCTTCTCTTCCTCCTCGTGATGCTGATGCTGTGTACATGCTCCTTTCGCATGCCTTGGTCTGAAACATCTATTTAACACCTATATTTCGTGGAGTTTGATGCTAGCGAGTGGCTTTTACACGCCTCACGTGGTTGGCCTGCTGCATGCTCGGGCAGATGCCTGCCCTGAACTCCAGGAACGTCTCAGTTGCCAGGACTATACACAAAGTGCCTGTTGGTTTTATAGCACGCAAATATTTGCTTTCTGTCCTTCCCAACCTAATGAGGTTATGGGCCAGTAAAATTGAGAGTAGCCTTACACTGCACAAACCCAGAGGACCGCGTGTTACGCCACGTGCTGGCCCGGCACGCACAGCAAGTAGCACTGATATTTTTGGGAAGCCTTTCGTGAGGCCAGGGGCAGAAAAACACAGCAACAACAAGAGCTTGGCAGCGTTTTAGTCCCATCGGAGCCCTGTGTCGATACTGGGGGTGCTACAGAGGCTCTGCCCGACTGGCAGCCTTTGATTCCCGGGTGGCAGCGGCCCCTGCCCTTTGCTGCGGCTTCGAGACACGAGGGCCTTGTAAGGGGCTGGCTGCACTTCTTAGGAATACCAGCACTCGGGGCTCCCGGAGCAGCTGCGCCCTTATCCCCAGCATCTGAAAACCACTTGTACTATTGAAGTGGCAGATTTCGGAGCTGGCGCTTCCCCATAACCACAGGTATTTTAAATATTTAGCAAAATAAGATGGCACGCCGGAGCGGTTCTTACGGGTCACGGGTGGTGCTTAGGCAGGAGACAAAAAACCCCAGAGCAAGCTCCATGGGAGATCAGCACTGGAAGCCTTTCCTCTCTGCTCTCGGGTAGGACAGGCACACTGTGCTCCCAAACCACAAAGAGTCCTCCACAAGCGTCACTCTTCTTAAAACTTTTCATCTACACAGAAACGCTGCCATATTCATAACCTACTTCGGGTTCGTAATGCAAATTGGGAAATAATTGTCCTGGGAAGTGGCTGCCTGATGAAAGCTCCACTGGTGTGAATAACCAGCACGATTACAGGGGAAGGCAGCCGCCTGGAACGAACTGGTAATGGGACACTGAGCCTTTAACTATTAGATCAAAGTGTGGATGTGTCCCACAGCCATACTGATTCACGTTATTAGATGTCCTATGGGAAACATGCTAGTGAAGGTTCATTCCAGCTCCTTAACTCATTAGAGACTTTGCAAACAAAAGCGCTGGAGCCCCTCGCAGACTGAGATGCTTCTGTTGGTCCTACTAGAGTCCTGTCTGCACCTTTGGAGACCTGACCCTACATGGCCACCGCTGCAGCTGACACAGGCTGTCTCGATTTTTGGCCAAGGACAGAGACAGCATGAAGACGAGAATCCCATTTTAGCACTCTTGTCAATTATTTATTCATGAATGCTGATTTATTCATCAAGATGTCTGCCTTCAGCTGTGATTTAACAGCTTTGCTAAACATGGTGTTTCATTTAAGTAACAAGGAACTTCAGTCTGGTCCTTCATCTATCTAATAAGGACCAGCAGGGGTCCTTATTTAATAAGGACTGCAAATGGACCAATCTGGGTTCTAGCTGTAACAGACAATATTAATAGCAAAGATTAATTTCCTCCACTGCAGGAGTGAGCATTAGGATGAGCATTACGAGGAAGTCGGGCTAAATGATTGTCATCTCTAAGCCTTAATATCTATTTAGGTAGTCACTTTACAGTAACAAACAACTTAATCTATACCAAAGACAGATCATGCATGGGGAAAATGAAAGCTCTATGGACCTTTGTGGACCATAAACGCCTATCACCTGCTTGCCCGAGACTGCGTGGAACCGCGGTTGAAAGGCCCAGCTGTCCCTCCCAGTTCTGCAGTCAGAGCGAATGTCAGCGAAGATATATCACCGCTATCTCCCACGTAGATATAAATAAATAAATAAAAGCCCTACGACATTCACCTGGCGATGAATCACCAGGACTTTACACAGAGCGACGGCCATGTGCTGCAGTGACGACTCTGTAACGCTGGATGTGGTGCAGCAAGCCTGAATCGGGATAAGGAATTCATAGTCCAAGCAAATTCACTCTGTAAACTCAAAAATTCCTACTAGATGCTGCTCCTGCACAGTAGGATGGGTAACACTGGGCTCCTGGCAGCTCGGTGAGGATATTTACCACACATGGAATAGACAGGGAGGGGTCAAGGTACCTAGAACACAGTCCAAGACCCAATAGGAAATTAAAAACAGTGAGCAAAATCATCTGATCATAAATATGTCACCATGAGCTAGGCTGTAAATGGCTGTGGATATGGTTCTAGCCCCTGGCAGTTGTGTCCTTCTGCTGATGTTCTGCCTCACAACTGCTGTGGTCCAGGAGATCTTCCTACCAATGCTGAGGTGAAAGAAAAAATCACCAGCCCCAGCTCTGCCCCAGCCTCCCTGATGGAGTCCGTGGTGCTCAGGTAAATGTTTGCTAAGCTCTTCTGCCAAAGGGACCCGTCTCATCAAATGGCCCAGGGGGTTTAGGAAATGCTCGGGCAACCTACTCCTCATCAGACCAGGCTGGTTAGGGGAGATGTGGGGAGCTAGCAAGGAGCTACAGGTGGTGGCCTCCTAAGCTGGCCAAAAGAAGACACGCACCCACAGCCTGGCTTGTCCAAAAGCAGTATCTCCGTCACATGAAAGCCTGCGAATATACCCAAGGCCACATACTGGCCTGCTTTTTCCACTTTGGAGGTTGTTTATTAATGAATCCTCGGACCAGTTTGGGGGAAGGACTGCGGGATGGAACAAAGCATGTACCGACAGTGAGCGTGCACAGAGATTTGCTGTGTGCTTTGCATGCCTTTTTAAGTGCCAGTGTTTTTCTTCTTAATATATTTTTTTTTTCAAAGCCTGGCATATTACCATGACAGCTTTACAGTGAGACACCAGTCCAACGTGCTGACATCGACTAAAAAGGCATAGCAACAACCCCGCCCTTTCACATACTTTACGAGTACAATGTGTTACTGTTAAGCAATATTTGAAGAAATACTAGGCAAAACAGTTCCCAGGAAGACCTGGATTCTGTCCTCGTGCAGCCACAGAAATACACGACAGAAAAGATAAATCCCAATAACATTGCTGACGGCCCACCTAGCTTGGGAACGGCTGAGACCTGAGCGTAGGAAATGTCACGTAGAAGACCATCCTCTGCTCCTTGCTGTGAATTAGCTCCACTTTTCGGGACTTGTTTGGTAACACTGAGCAGCATAACAGGGTGAGAGGTTTGCTCGTTTGGCACCAACAGCAACGTCCCCTTGATGTTTTGTGGAGAAAACAGTGCTTAATCTC